GTTATAATGTAAAAAGATAAGATTGTCTTTCATTTCGTTATGTAACTTTGATTTATAAAATGATAATAACTTTTAGTTAAAAGCAAATATAAATCAAAAACATAAAGAATATTATTATTTTGTTTATTAAAGACCTGGAGAGAACCCACGCCTGCATGGAGAGAACATGCAAACTCTACCCAGAAAGGTCCCCGGGCCAGGATTTGATCCGGCAACCTTCTTTCTTTAAATCACGTTCACACACTGATAGGACTCAGTCTGTCTGTCTTTACAGCATATTTATGAGTAGATGGATCATTTTGCAAACTTCAAAACCCAGGTTTAGCTATTCCTTAACCTTAATCAATGAATTACTCCTAGAAAAAATTGCACTTGGTGAAACAGACCATCACCAGTGCAGACAGAAAACACACTGGGACCATTCTACACCTCCCCTCCCAGCATACAGGTCGCTCTTGTCAGCCATCTCTGGGCAGCCCGTCCCAGTGCCCTCCCTTCAGATGTGCACAAAAAGAACCCTGTTCCTGCAGGAAGCTGCTCCAGACTCACCCGTAAATAGCCAGGCTGATTTATTTGAGGGACCGTTTTTCCCCCCTCAACATTTCTCCTGACTGGAGGCCAAAACAAACTGTTCACAGCAGGAAATGTGATCGCAGCAGATTCTGGATCAGTGGTACCCAAGCTGTTTGACAGGCAGACCAAACCGTCAGGTGGAGTGTACTCGCTGACCACAAAAATGTGAATTTCTGATTTTTTGTGCTTCAACTTTACTTTTTTAAACACTCAACATCTTAAACACAGTTTTTAGCATGAAAGTGAATGAATTTAGGTGATAGGGAGTTCTAAGTTGTTGTAGATCCAAACTATGAAGTCTTACAAACATTTAATTCAATAAAAGAATGGCATTTAGTTTATTTTATTTGTTGTTTGATTTTAGTCTGTTCTCAGGGGAAAAAAAGCATAAAATAAGCCAGTCACTAAAACTGATTTATAAAAGGTTTGAAATAAAGGTGATTCAGTTCTTTACGACTTCTGCCCTTCCAAAATAAATCACTTTTTCTTCTCTAAAACACTTGTTAGATGAAGCCAAGTGAAAGTTTCTGCTCCTTTTTACAATGAAATTGGAATTCAAGAAACTTTTAAATGAATGAAAGACAAAAAGCTTGTAATGTGTTTAACATCGCACATTTAAAGATTTTTTAACCTGGTTTTTCTGTTAAACCTAAATTTTTTAAATAAAAACCACCCTTAACATGGGCCTGATGATGTTTTCCACAGCTTTACAAGTCTGCTGTTCCAACGACATCATGATGTCTGACTCACATCTGCACCTGGAAGGCCTGAGGAGCCAGGATCCCCGTCTCTGCCGTTGGCACCATCAGGTCCCTAAAAACAGAGAATTAACTAATATCAGTCTGAATGTTAGCATCTATAACAGCTTCTGAAAGCAGACGGGGACTCACTGGTGGTCCGGTCACTGTGGAGTCTTCTCCTCGTTCACCCTGAAGACACCAGAGATTTGACCAGAGAACATCAGTGACCAGTTTTAATAAGACGTGTCCAACAGTTCCAGCTCTGTGTCTCCAAACGAACACTGGGAATAATCCCTTTATTCCAACGTTAGAATAAAGCTGCAGTGTGCATGTAGGGTGATGAAAGGCCAAACAACATTATGTCCTGATGACCTCAGTAATCCAGGTAGAAAATATCAAAAAGTAACAATAAGCATCCAGTATCCATCCAGAGGACCTGCTTATTGTTTCTTTTTGACCAAACAACATTAGTTTTCTCCTCTAGTCATCAGTTACCTTTTTGCAAACAATCCCCCCTTTTCTCCTGAAATTCTTTTCAACACGTCTCTTCATTTACAAGCAAAATAAGAATAATAATCCTGAGCGTTTGACCTCATTAATCCAGTGAAATATGGATGAAGTGATGTGAAGATTCAAACAGCAGTGATACACTCAGTGAATGAGTGTCTGACACCTAAAAACAACTTTTATTTAAAGAGAGAGAAACTTTACTTACATCTATCCCATCCACTCCGGGGACACCAGCTATGCCAGGAGGTCCTGGGGGACCTTTGGGACCAACTTCACCCCTCTTTAAAAGAAACACAAAAGTCCGTTTTTGTTTGTTCCATAGCTCGATATGCAGCGCTGCTGCTGCTTCTGCACAGGACCGTTTACACAGAGCCCCATTGTCGGCTGAAGTGAAGGAAAAGCTCATGAAACCAAACCTGGATTAAGCCTTTTAGGCCCATTGTGCTGCCTAAGTAGCTGCATGTGTTCAGATTACTGTTGCTGCCCGGACCAGGTGTGCATCCTGGGATTAAGAGACTGTTTAGATAAGCATGGTCTATAATGTTTTTAGTTCATGTTTGACGTTGTGTGCAGAGGATCTGAGACCTGCTGTAACGTCGAAGGTTTGCAGCACAAAGGTCAGTTTTCATGTGTCAGAATAAAACAGAGCCTAAAAGTCAGCAAATCTCTGCGCAGCACAGACACCTTAAAACAAYCAAACACATAAAATATAACATCATGCAACATTAAAACTAACGTGAAGCCCAGATTTCCTCTCATACATGCTGTCATAATGATCCTTTGAGAACAAAAAACACTTTAAATTTTAGAACCGGTGTGCTCCACACACACAGCCTACCAACATCTTAGAGTTTTCTTAGAAAATGCAGCAGCTTCCTCTCACCTGAGCCAAGCAGATTAGTCCAATCTGGAGTAAGAGCACCAGCAGAGACTCCTTAGAAACCCTTAAAAGGGCCATGGTCTTCTCACAGATGCAGGCAAAACCTTAAATCCTCTTTTTACCAGTGTAGTTGGGGCTCTCGGATAGCCCACCTGCTAGAGCTGCCCCCAACTGAAAGCCCACTGCCTGCTGCAAAGGAAGGATGTGAGAGAGTCCAACCGAACAGCCGAGGCTTCAACCACCCGAGGAGGAGGGGTCCAATGGAGGCTGAGTACCTACAGTACCACCACTGTCATGGTTTAGTGCTTGAGATTTAAAATCATTGGCCCTTTGTGTTTTAATATCATGTCATAAATTATTATTATTATTGTTATTATTATTATTATAACTTAATCTGAACTCATTGTATTCTAACTAGTTTTGTTCCCAGTGTTTGACTGTGATGGTTCTGATTCTCTATTGGACTTTGTTGGTTTTCTTACAGGTCAGTTCTGTTTCCACAACAACTCACCAAGTCTAACCCAGGTCAAATGAAGATGTGGATCAGATAAAAAAAATTACAATCAGGTGCAGACTTTAACAAAGACATGCAAAACTATGACACCGTTTTATGAAACAAACGTACAACTAGACGCAAAATGATTACGGCTGAAAAAATTAAAAACTGGATGCTGCAATTATTTATATTCATTTTATTAATAATAACAACAACAACAGCAACAACAACAACAACAACAACAATAATGAATTTATTTTGTAACATTTTTTATTAGTAAAAATCTCAAAGTGCTACAAACGTCAAGTGGCGGAAGATGTAAAATGGGGAATAATACCCACCCCCCCAAATAAAACTCTACTCTTAAAGGGATCCCTGATTAGTTGTAACATTAGACTTTATTTGATAAACATTTATTTTAACTGTAAAATAAAGACTGTAAAAATAC